CCCCAAAACCCCAAAACCCCAAAACCCCAAAACCCCTTTTTAATATTAATATGTTGGAAAGTTTAAATGAATTTTGGATTTCATTATTATAAGTAAGTATAATCACAATTAAGCATTGGTGTAAATCTACCCTCTGAATCAAGATGTGTTCAATATTATCTTTAACAAATTCTCCAATAAATTCTATCAGATTACCACTTCTGGATTTATCCAAACTAATATTCTAGCATACCCTTTGAAGTTGAATTCTACAGCAAATGTTCATCAAACTAATGTCTTTGTATAAATAAAGTTCAATAAACTCTCAAACATAACAAGAAATATATCCTCCAAACATAAAATTAAGATTTAGAGAGAAGTGTTGGTGCTTTGAACTAAACCTTCTCCAACCCGATAAAACCTTTTGCTTATATGTCCTCTGACAGCCATAACGGCACCTGGCTTGATTACCTCTTAACTAAAGGTCTAACTATTTCGATCTGGAGCCTCAGCGCTTTCACAGAATAGTCTTAACTTCGAGCCGAATAATCGTTGGCATGTCCAGACGCGAACAGAAGCACCTAAGTCACAACCCAGAATGAAGGTTTAGCAACTATGGAGCCAACCTGCACCATGTCGGCTGAACTTGAGCTTCAGTCAGAAATAACAGAGATTGTGCTTGTTCTGTTTATTTCATTTGAACAAAGTTGGGATTCTAATATTCAGCAATGGTTATTTACTATTTGACATTCAAGAGTCTAGCAATGATCAGTTTGACAAATCTCATTAGAATTCTGGTGAGCATTTTAAGATGCTATTTGCGTGATGTCTGGCAACTCCCTCGAACATCACTCTAATGTAAGCGTCAAGTGAGTTACAGCTTGATTTGCACTTTCATTTTATGCTTTGGCAATTCGAAAGTTGAAACTTTATGAGTTAATATAAGAGTTTAATCAAATTTAAACCTATATTTTTAATTTGTAGTGCATTCTCTATTTGTTCATGCCATTACGACATACTCAATGGGTGATACTTGATAATAAGATAGCCCTCCAGTTTGCTCTCAAATTACGAGTATTTTATGCTAAACAAAATTTTCTAAGGTATTTGAGAGATGAATCGATTCTGACAATGTTTTTGTTTTAAAAGTAAGTCAAATTAGAATGCTCTTGTTTATTTAAAATCCTTGCGCTTAATCCAAAAATTTAATTTTAGCAGGCTTTTGGAGTGTCCCACAATTTATGACAAACTTACCCACAGCAAAATACTCCTGAATAATTTGGATGGAAATATATTTTCTAATTTGGGGTTTTGGGGTTTTGGGGTTTTGGGG